GTTTGAAGATGCCCTGGAGATCAGATTAGTCAGCAAAGATGGAAAGAGTAAAGGGATTGCTTATCTTGAATTCCAAACAGAAGCTGATGCTGAGAAAACCTTTGAAGAAAAGCAAGGAACAGAGATTGATGGCCGTTCTATATCCTTGTACGACACTGGGGAGAAAGGTCAAAATCCAGAGCACAGAGGTAGGAAGAGCAGCACCTGGAGAGGTGAATCAAAAACACTGGTTTTCAGTAACCTCTCCTACAGTGCAACAGAAGAAACTCTCCAGGAAGTATCTGAGAAGGCAACTGCTATCAAGGTGCCTCAGAACCAGAATGGCAAATCTAGAGGGTATGCATTTATAGAATTTGATTCATGTGAAGATGCTAAAGAAGCTTTAAATTCTTGTAATAAAAGAGAAATTGAAGGCAGAGCCATCAAGCTGGAATTGCAAGGATCCAGAGGATCCCCTAATGCGAGAAGCCAGCCGTCCAAAACACTGTTTGTCAAAGGTTTGTCTGAGGACACAGCTGAGGAAACATTGAAGGAATCATTTGATGGGTCTGTTCGCGCCAGGATAGTCACAGACCGTGAAACCGGCTCCTCCAAAGGGTTTGGGTTTGTAGACTTCAACAATGAAGAAGATGCTAAAGCCACCAAGGAGGCCATGGAGGATGGGGAAATTGATGGAAACAAAGTTACCTTGGACTGGGCCAAGCCTAAGGGCGAAGGCGGCTTCGGGGGACGAGGTGGAGGCCGAGGAGGATTTGGAGGCAGAGGCGGCCATGGCAGAGGAGGCCGGGGTGGATTTGGTGGCAGAGGCCGGGGAGGATTTGGTGGCAGAGGCCAGGGAGGATTTGGAGGGCGAGGAGGCTTCCGGGGAGGCCGAGGAGGAGGAGGAGATCACAAGCCACAAGGAAAGAAGGCAAAGTTTGAGTAGATCTTCCATCCCTATCTTTTCCCTCTTCCATTTGAAAGCAAGGACTCTAGGGTTTTTACTCTGTTACCGGATCATGACAGAGCCTTCTGAGGACATTCCGAGACAGTAGCCCTGTGGTCTACTTAGAAATTCTACGGAACACATTTCAAAGAGAGCTGCCCTGTGGTTTTGACTGGATTTGAATTTATATTAAGTTTTATCCCATGTACAAAACCATTCTTTTCCTACAAATAGTTTTTTTGTTTTGTTTTTAGTTGGGGGGTGTAAAGGCAAGCAGGATGTTTTATCATGGTTTTTGCTTCAGCGACTTTGGGACAAATTAAAAAGTCCTAAGGAGCTCTGGTAGTGCAGTGGTTACGAATCGGGCTGTGAACCTTAAGGTCAACGGTTCGAAACTACCAGCCGCTCCGCGGGAGAAAGATGAGGCTTTCTACTCCTGTAAAGATTTACACCCTCGGAAACCCTGTACAGGGTCGCTATGGGTCAGAACTGACTCGACGGCACTTAACAACAACAACAAACTAAAAAAAGCAAGAAAAAAAAAAAAGAATGTTGTGTATCAGTCCAGTGGTGAGGATTGTTGTTTTCTTTACACTGAGATGTAATCCATACCAAAGGCTGTGGTGTGTGATCTTCATCAGTAAGTATTTTTAATCTTCTTCACTTTCTGCAAGTAAACTCGATGTTGTTGTTAGGTTTAAAAAAAAAAAAAAAAAGCTTCAGATACCTTGATTAGAATTGAATAGATCTGTTTGTGAATACATTTGCTGCAAACAAAAATACTGATTTTCAGACCTATGAATGCCATTTCTCTCTCCAATCAATAAGTCTTTATATTGTTTTTCAGCAAGGTTTTTATAGTTTTCACATATAATTCTTGCATATCTTTTGTCAAACTTAATTATATTTTTTTTTCTTTTACCCTATTACAATTTAATCTTTTTTGTTATTTGTTTTTTGGGTTTGTTTGTTTTTTTGCTATTTTGCTGTTGTTAAGTGCTGTGAAATCAGTTCTAACTCACAGCAACCCTATATAATATAGTTTCCAAGGAGCAGCTTGTGGGTTTGAACTGCCCACCTTGAAGTTAGCAGTTGAGTGCTTATCCTACAATGCTACTCCAGGACTCCATTTTTTGCTAACATATTGAAATATAGCTGATTTTTATATTGTTTCCTTGTATCCTACAACCCGATTTACTGAGCCAGTAGCTCTTTCTGTAGATTCCATCAGATAGATTTTCTACATAAACAATCACATATCCTGCAACTAAAGACAACTGATTTTTAATCTGGATACCCTTTATTTCTTCTTTGTGCCTTATTGCACATGCTAGCATTTCTAGTGTAAGGTTCAACAGAACTCATGAGAGCAGACATCCTTGTCTTCTCCCTCATCTTAGGAGGAAAACATTAAGTATGATGTGGACGGTGGAGTTTCCATAGATGCTCAGGATTAGATTGAGACCATTGAGCCAATGTTTTTATCATGAGCAAATGCTGGGGTTTATTAAATGTTTTTCTATTGGAAACTTAATTCATTGCTTTTCCTTCATTCTTTCATTTAGGGCTATACGTTTCTTCTGATAACTGTTTTAAATGTATATGGTTTTAGATACCACATTTCATTTCCATTTTTCAAAAGTTCTGTAATCTGACCCCAAATTTGTAATTGTTGTTGTTGTTGTGTTACTAAGTGCTGTCAAGGTGCTTCTGACTCTTAGAGACCCTGTGTAGAGGTTCCAGAGCTTGGAAATCATTGTGGGAGCAAAAAGCTTCATCTTCCTCTCATGGAATGGCTGGTGGGCTCGAACCGCAAACCTTGTGGTTCGAAGTCTAATGCTTATTCCGTTGGCACACCTATTTTTGTTTAAGTTTTGTGCAACATCATTTTATTGCATGATAACCAGAGACTGTTGTTAGTAAAACTCCTTTTGTGTGTGTGTTTTTACTTTTGATTGTGAATTGAGTGTAGGTTTACAAAGAGCACATCATCAGCTCTGCACTCAGCAAATCATGCACTTGGTTTGATTTCAGCATAATATTCCATTTTTATGGCACTTTACGTAACCGACTGGCACCCTAATGTATGATCAATTTTTATGAATTTTCCATGTCCTGGGGTGGCACTGTGGGCTACTGCGTCAGACTGCAAAGTCATTTGAACTGCAAGGTCGGTGGTTC